AATACATGCGCATAATGTACAAGCTCTTCCAGTCCTCCTGGCGCGACGACGCCGTGCAGCTCAACCGCCAAACCGGCGTCTACACCGACCCGACGCTCGTGCGCGAGATCGACCACCGCGGTAAGTACTTCACCGTCCCCGGCCCGCACATCGTCGCGCCCAGCCCCCAGCGCACGCCCCTCCTCCTGCAGGCCGGCACGTCCCGCGCCGGCAAGCAGTTCGCCGCCCAGCACGCCGAGGCCATCTTTGTCTCTGCGCACGCGCCGGCCGTCTGCGCCAAGAATATTACCGAGATTAGGGAGTTGGCCAAGACGCAGTATGGGCGGGATCCGAGGAGCATCAAGGTGCTTGCGCTGGTTACGCCTATTCTTGGGAGGACTGAGGAGGAGGCGCAGGCTAAGTTGGCGGATTATAGGAAGTATGCCTCGCATGAGGGTGCTTTGGCGCTGTTTGGTGGATGGACGGGTATCGACCTGAATCAGTATGGTGATGAGGAGGAGCTGCGACATGTGGAGAGCAATGCTGTCAAGTAAGTGACTGTAGTCTTGGCCAGGGTCTCGTCGTCTTACTAACAGCCAACATAGGTCAACTGTCGACGCATACGCTCGATTCTCACCACACAACTCAAAATGGACCAAGCACACCGTTGCCGAGCACGTCAGCATCGGCGGCAACGGCCCGATATTCGTCGGCACAGCCGAGCAGGTAGCCGACGGCCTCGAGGCCTGGGTCAAGGAAGCGGACGTCGACGGCTTCAACTTCGTGAGTGTCATGCCCATCAAGTCCGCTCATTGGCTTAGCTGACAGTATGAACAGGCGTATGCTTTATTCCCCCAGTCGTTCAAGGATATCATCGAGCTGTTGCTTCCGGAGCTGCGGAAGCGAGGTCTGTTCTGGGACGACTATGCTGTGCCGGATGGTACGTACCGTGAGAACTTCTATGGTCAAGTCGGGCAGAAGAGTCCTCCAGAGGAGCATGTGGCGGCTCAGTTCCACTGGAAAGCCGGGGTGCCTGCATCTGAGCATAGCATTCCCGAGTAGAACGTGTCTCTAGCTAAAAATCTAGATAAAGTTCAGCAAAACTATCGAGTTAGGAAATTAAAATAGCGTAACTGCTACTATATAGCTCTCAGTTTTATTAAGTTCTTAAGTTTCAAGTAAAGAATACTATTCTTCGTAACGATATGAGATCTACACATTTTACGTATAGAAAGATGTACGAAGTACTTAGTAGTTTATGCTCAACTTTAATGAATCTCAACTCATACGTAATGAGTAATAAGGGGTGCGCAATTAGCTAAAATAAGCGTATGCGATTCTAGATCCTATTGTCTTAACTTTATAGTCTCATAGCGAAAATTGCACCCGCTCAGCACATTGTGCCTAAGGCGTACCCGGACTCCCATCATCGACACCCGTATCAAACGTAATCCCCTCAGGGCGCGCATTATTCAGATTATTCGCAAACCTCGAATCCGGACTAGCCATCGTCGCAGACCCAAAGTCATGCGCAAACAGCTTATCCCTGATCCCAGCCGGAAACCCGTTGTAGCTCACCAGCGCGCCCCGGAACCACACCCCCTTGGCATTCTCGATCCTGTCGTCGTCCGCGTTCGCGAACCGGAACGCGTGCGTCCCCAGCCCGTCCTTATGGTACACCATCTTGGGGTGCTCCCCGTCCCAGCGGACGTCGGCGGCGGCTTTCACCTCGTAGCTGCCGTGCGCGGAGGCGGCGACGTACTGGGCCTTGTCGTCCCTGACCCAGACGACGATGTGCTCCCAGTCGTGGGTGTGGCCGACGTCGTAGAAGTTGGCGATGGCGACGTCCTTTTCGAAGTAGTAGTCGTACAGGTACGCGCACCAGCCGTTGTTGCAGCGCTGGCGGGAGTAGACGTTGTTGTTGTCCAGGTCGGAGAGGTCGTGGCAGTCTTGGGCGAGCCCGACGAAGTTGTGCGGCAGGCCTTGGGCGGTGTTGCCCTGCGCGTCGATGGCGGGGACGTTGTAGCAGCCGTCGGTGTCGAAGTCCATGGACGGTTGCCAGCGGAGGTCGTTGGCTGTTGCTTTCTGAGGGAGGGCGGTGGGTGGGTTGACAGCCCGGGAGTGGAGGAGTTGGAGAGCTTCTAGTGGGATGGCATTGGAGTGAGGGATGGTGACTGCCAGGAGCAGTGCAGCACTAAGCTGTAGAATTGTCGAGGTTGACATGGTCTCAGCAGGCGATGATCGTGATGAATTGTGATACCGTGTCTCATTATCAATACTCTGAGGTCATCCTATGGACAATAGCTTGGTTGGAGGTGTCACCCATATTTATGTGCAACGTACGAGGTTCACATGTCACGTCTCGGTCCATCAGGCGCCATTGTTGCCCACACGTGTAGTGTTCTACTGCAGCACGACCATGATGGTTGCATTTTCGGTCGAGGACTCGGACCTGTTCTCATCCTTCATCTAGCCACGAGGAGAGATTGTCGACAAGCAATTGGCTAGACTCCAAGTTTATAGAACTACCACCATGCACTGCGACCGATGCAGCCAATTGAATGACGGAGAGGTGGCCGTTCCCCTGGCTGCCCAGATCGCCAAGATACGACTAGAGCATCTATCCGCAAGGTTCACAATGCAGGCAATGTTTAAGGGGCAAGTCAACCCTAACCCTCACTCATTCATCCTTCTCCGCTTCAAATTCGAAATCGAGCAGACGCTATTCCGAAAATAGAAGCTCGATCTCCTCACGTGAGTCACTCACCGCACGCGCATCTTTCGTGTCGCTTGAACAGGACTAGTCGCCATCCTAGTCTCGACTACATACATCGTCAGTAACACGCTGTCCAGTTTACACAATGTGCAAACAACCACCCTCTTCTGGCCATGTCGCCGCCAATCGAAGTAATAGTCACCAAGACAGAGCGAGTCCTGCCAGAGACACCAACGCCATCTGAGCGCGCAGTACCCCTGTCGCTCCTGGACGCGACAACCGCCGACTTCGCCCTCACCCAAGCCATCTGGCTGCTGGAGCGACCCCAAGATGTCCCTCCAGACTTCGACCTAGCGCACCACCTCAGGCAATCCCTCCGGACAACCCTCAGCGCCTACCCGCAATGGTGCGGCCAATGCAAGGCCGTCAGCACCCTCGCCGGCCCAACGGGCGCCGAAGCGAGGGACTTCCCGCCTCACGCGCGCCGCTTCGGCCGCATATACGTGCACTTCGGCACTGGCGAGGACCCGGGCGTCGAGTTCGTGACGGCGACCAGCCCGGCGACCTTGGACGCTCTCTACCCGGCTAACCGGACGGAGGTCATGCCCGCGTGGAACCGACGGGAGGCTTCATTAAAGGCATTTTCTCCCCCGACGGCCATTCATTCAACATTGCAGCCGAACCACCCCGATGAGAATGGGCTTCGAAAGCCCCTACTCGCGATTCAGGTCACGCAGCTGTCCTGTGGCGGCTTCGTCCTAGCCGCCAAGTCTGCGCATCCGATGGCTGACATCGCAGCCTTGGTCCACCTCATGAAGGACTGGGGCAACGTATCCCGCGCCCTGCTATCGGGCGAGCCCATACCACGGTTAAGCCCCGTGTTCGACCCGGCACAGGTCGACGATTGCGCCCAGGGCGACATCAACGACGACGACTACGACGAGGAGCTGGTGCTGGCATCGATGTGTCTGCCCATGAGCCGCTTCGACTGGTGGGCCGCGGGACCGGTGGAAGGCTGTCCCTGGCCAACCAGCGTGCCGGGCATCTTCCGCGGCCAGGACCTGGCGCCGGCCCGGGATAGCATCCCAATGCCCTGGAAACACTGGGACGTCAGCGCCCCGGTTTCGAGCTACATCATCCACCTGACGCGCTCGCAGGTCGACCACCTCTTCGAAGCAGCCGTCCGAAACCCGCCTGGAGCAGATACCCGAGTCAAAGTCAAAGGCGCCAGCGTAAGCAAGCACGACGCGGTGCTAGCGCACATGTGGTCCTGCGTCGTGCGGGCCCGGCAGCTGTCCGGCCGCCACGAGACCGTGTACTGCAATCTCGTCGTCGGCATGCGGCCGGTCCTGGGCCTGGGTGACGACTTCATCGGTTCGCCGGTGCTCATGGCGGCGATCGACATGTACGCGCACCAGGTCGCGGCGTATGACGGGGATGAGTTCGCTCTGCGGGATGTCGCGCGGCGTATTCGGTCGGTGGTGAGGAAGCTCAACGACCCCTCGGAGATAGGCTGCCATCTGCACGCGCTGGTGTTCGAGAAGTCGCCTCAGCGGATATGGCAGGCCTTTTTGGGGAGGAAGCATATTCTCGTGACGTCGTGGGCAAGGGCTGGGCTGTATGAGGTTGACTTGGGTCTGGGTTCGGCTGTGCGGTATGCGGATGATGTTGTGCCGGATATGGATGGGTGTATTTCTATTAAGGAGGCGCCGCCGGCTGGGGAGGGGGTTGTGGATGAGGGAAAGCGGGCGTGGACTGACTACGGCGTTGATGTATCTGTTGCGCTGAGGGCGGAGGACATGGAGCGGTTGTTGAAGGATGCGTTGCTGCTGCCCAAAGTGTAGGAGACAGGGTGAACAATAAAGCGACTATGCACTAACGTCATGGAAGAAGGATGTAGCGACTGCGCAGCACAGCAAGGCCGCCGGAGCAAGTGATATCCTTGGGGGTTTCTGGTGCACGCGTGCTTCCGCCCTAGATATGAAGGAGACCATACACAGACCGTCCTCTACCACCACGCCTGACAATTAGCATACGCCGTCGTCCTGCCACCAAGCTCTCCCAACCTACTTAGAAAGGAATCGCTGCCCTCGCCGACGGTGTGTGACTAGGTAGCGTAGAGGGATCCACCGCCAGCTAGTCTCCGGACTAGTCGTCTTCCTTGACGCTACACGAGTCAGTCCCCGCCCAGCAGCCTCTTCATCCTAGCCCTTGCAGAAATCCACATGCCTCGCACAACAATTCTTCAGCGCCCCAACGCCCGCCGCTTCCAAGCCCACCCAGCAAATGGGTCTCGGCTATCGACGGTCTGTTGGTCTAGCGGTATGATTCTCGCTTAGGGTACACCCTGAAGCTCCAGCTTGCGAGAGGTCCCGGGTTCAATCCCCGGACAGACCCTGTTCGATGTTGTCCTTGGTCCTCGGATCAGGCATTCTCTTTTTTGGGGGTTGTGGATGCCGAGAGGTGATGCGGGAGGACGGCTTGGGGCATGGTGGTGGTGCTTGAGTTGTGTATGTCGAGGGCCACGCGTTGCATCTGTGGGAGCGAGCGTGGTGTCTTCCATGACGGACCTGCTCGATGTGCCCTCGGTCTTCGGATCCGGGATTCTTTTTCGGTTGGCTTTGTGGAGACTGTAGAGACTTTTTCACGGGAACAACTTATGAGCCTTGTGGGGGTGCTTGAGTTGCATATGTCGAGGACCACGGGCTGGACTCCTTGTACGAGGGAAGGCGGTCTTCCCTCAGTGCATGCAGTTGCTGGGACAGTGAGAAGTGTGCGTCTTATCGCTCGGTGCCGGTTGTTGGGACTCAAGTGGTGAGTGGATGTTGTGTGGCAGCGACAAAGAGGGTAAGTTGTTGAGGGAGGTGCTTGGCCAGTGGGAGGTGGGCGACGAGGTAGCAGAACTGGAGGGCGGGTGTACACGAGTGTACTCGGGCAGGCCAGTTGTCGAGTCCAGACCACGACGGTTGGTCAGACGCTTCTGTCTGCACGGCTGCAGGATTGGACGCTCGGTCGATGGTCGCCGTCCACGGCACTCATGGCGGCCAGGCGCTGGTTATGTGGAAGTGGAGTCTGAGGATTTGCAAGAGATGATTAGCTTTCCTGTGACAGTGAAATAGAGGGAATGGGCCAGAAAAGAGATAGTTTCGAACCGACAGAAGCCAGACTGCACTGAAGTCTTCGAACAGGTAGTTCTGGCCTGATAGACCTCTGCTCGTGGATCGTCGTCCGGAGTGCAGAGCCACGAGCCGTCTCAAAGTCGGTTCTGTCCACATTGTAGGCTGTGAGATCGTCTTGTCATGCAGTTCTGTTGGAGCGGAGCAGAAGCAGAGGGCGAAGCATCATCGCGTCGAGGTCTCGAGTTGGTGGCCCGTAGTCGATGAGCGGCGAGGTTACGGTTGCTTGAAGGCGTTGCTCGAAGTCTGTTGTTCGAAGTCTGTTGTTCGAAGGCTGTTGCTCGAAGGTTGTGCTAGAAAGTTGTTGCTCGAAGGCTGTTCCTCGAAGGCTGTTTGTTCGGAAGATGTTGTTCGAAGTATGGAGCAAACAATGTGTTCAGCTGCCAACAAGAGCATGGTGTACCCGCATCGGGTGCGGTGGCTGCCTTGTCACAGCCATGCTGTTGCCTTCCCCTGGAGAAGGCTTGAGTGTCGCTTGGGCTCTCGTCATTGCGTGGTTTAGGAGGTTCGAGTGGCAATAGCCCGCGTTGGAAGGGATCGTGAAGGTCCGTCGAAACCAGGAAGGGATGCTTCGCGGCGACCAGTTTCCGCTTGCTTCGCATCAGGTTGCGTCGGATGTCGAGGTCAGCACGGAAGAGTGAGTTGTGATGATCAAGGGGGGCCGTCAAACATGCACTCGGGCGCCGTGCATCGTCTGAGTCGAGGAGGCAGGAAGCTTCGTCCTCCTGTTGCTGACGATGTCTGGTAGTAAGGGAGGCTGGGGCTGAAGTGATGGACACAAAGCGTTTGTCCCTTGTCGTAGGACAAAGATAACAGGGCGTCGCCTCTAGACTCCCATTGTGTGGCGAGCTCTGTTGAGACCGGTGAGTCGGTGGGCTGTCGCGTGTCACAGCTTCGTTGGAGCCGGTCAGCTGCGCGTCTTGTCGTGCAAAAGCAAAGTCATGCTAATGATGCATTGTCTTGACAGGGTCCTGGCTCGCGAGCTTGGTCACAGGCTCGACTTCGCGCTCGTTGATACTTGTCACTTCGCCATTGCGCGTGAGCGACACATCAGCTCTCTCTTGTCGGAGGGAAAGGGAAAAAAAAACGCAAGAGAAGTTGCAAGCCTGGACATCATCGTCAGTGTTGAGCACCGCGCAGTGTCGGGCCTCTTCCGAGAGGACAGGAGATGTCACTCGAAAGCACGACAGTCACATCTCGGAGAAAGTGCAGATGGTACGATGCATGCTCACCGCTTGATCGCCTTTTAGCCACACCGGGAGCCCTTCGCTGGGGATCGGCGTGGCCCATCATGTCATGCAGAGCTTTCTGCTTTGGGGTGGGATGTAAAGGGTGCCAGCTGAGGTCGACAACCCCCAGAGAGGATGTATGGGGGTCAATAATGCACAGTGCCGCCGGCGGCCAGCCAAACTGCGCTGGAATTATTGGAAAGAAACAGGGGCATCTGAACGGCCGTTCCGGGGTTCATACCGCGTAGTCGTTCTTCAAGCGCGGACAAGACTCGAATTTATCTGCACTAAGGGATTCGATCTTCACACTTTGGGAGAGCTGGAAGCGAGATATGATTACTTTTTTTGTTGATAACAGGCATCGTATAAATATCAGCAAGCTTGTCGTAGGGAAGCCAGTGCTAGTCCATCGGTGCCGGAGAAGAACTTGAATCGGTGTGGAAGCAACTGAAGCTGAAAGGCAACCTTCGCATCTGACACTGCTCCGCCTGCAGTCCGCACATGCAAAGGACATACATACAACAAAAGAAAATCCCCCCTTCGTTGCCTTTTCCTCTGAGACAATGGCACAATATACAGGCAAGTCTCAGTTTCTTCCGTCGCGCTCGATGCACCTTGCTTGTTGGCTGTCTTTTTGCGCCAGATGCTCAGCGCAGCTGTCACCAATGACTCATGGAAGCAAGGGCGGATAATTAAGCATGATCTAACGCCTGCTACAGTACCTCGGCCGCTGTACATCTCTCAGTGGCTCTCAGAACAGCGGCACAACCAACCTCTCCAGGGGTTTGCAGCATCGACCAATCACTCTTGCTCAGTGGTTCTTTTACCCAACGGCCTCCGGCTGGAGGGGACCCAGAAATTTCTAGAACAATGGGAGGCAGACTGGAATGTTGCCCGGATTGGTGGTCATGAGGGGAGAATGGCTGTTGGCCATCTATGCCGGCCAGGCAGTCAGGGCAGTTCAATGCTGCATTCAGCCGATGTGGCAATGCAGTCGGAGTTACTGGGTCTTATCATCTCCCGGGGCACAATGGTGGATCATCTGAGCCCAGACATGAGATCTCTTTCTTTGGATGAAGGAATTGACGGTTTCGATGGTTAGAGTTCGGGAGCCGTTCGCGTCGGCCTCTGCCAGCCATGGCCACTACGGGAGTATAATAGCCTTCAATTGGAACCCAAATGCAATTTGCTTTTCACAGTGTGCAACAGAATAATCTACCGTTTCTCTTGCCTTGCAAAATATTTTGAGGAACCAAGATTGGGGTTGATGACAGCCAACTCCGTGATGTCTGTTCTGCCTGCCCGTTTTGGGAACTTGAGCCATCAGGGACGAGGCATGAAAATTTTGCTGTTGCTTTAATGCAAGCTACCTTAATTTCCGAACCTGTAGCCGTGACGCCCAGCTTGTGTGCAGATATGATGCATGTGCATTTTCCAAATCAAGAGGGCTTCTAGAGAGTGGGAAGGGCGAGGTGTGGTTACACAGCATTACCTGCCAGGCTTCTCCACAAAATGCTTTTCCCACAAGACCGGGTTTCTGGGCCGCCCATCGGTTTGACAGGACGCCCGGGGAATTCCCTGTGCAGCCGGGTTGACCATCCGATTCGTCATGACACAGGGATGTCGAGATGACCTAGAGACCGAAAAGATGTTGACGGGATCGCGATGCCGGGCCAGTAGGAAAGCAGAGTCCGGAGGGGTTATTGGAGGTAAATTTTGCGGAAGGCGGATCACTGGGAGATCCTCAAGAGCTACTCACCTGTATGCAGCTTAGTCGATGATGGTGTGGTCTGACTCCAGCACATGAGTGGGAGCTGGATGACCGGCAAGCAGGACCCAAGTAACAAAATAATGCCGAATTAGTGATAAGCAGTACCTGATACCGGGAAGGAGTGATCCTCTGTACCTGCTTGAGATGGATAACCGGGCATGTTCACGGCATATACCTTAGAGTTTGACGTCCTTTTCCAATCTGACGTTCGATCCCAATCTGACGTTCGATCCCAATCTGACGTTCGTTTCCAATCTGACGTTCGATCCCAATCTGACGTTCGTTCCCAATCTGACGTTCGTTCCCAATCTGACGTTCGCTCCCAATCTGACGTTCGATCCCAATCTGACGTTCGTTCCCAATCTGACGTTCGTTCCCAATCTGACGTTCGTTCCCAATCTGACGTTCGTTTCCAATCTGACGTTCGTTTCTAATCTGACGTCTCTTTACAATCTGAGTTCTTCAATTTTCAATCTAAAACATGTCTGTCACACAAGCCACTCTAGGTCCACTGGCGGACTTCAGTACGTCATTGCTAACACGTAGGGGTATGAGTTAGCTGGTTGTCAATCCAGCGTCGTTTCACGGGCGCCAAAGCTCGCTCTTTGACTGTGCCCCTAGAGTGCCGAGTTCACTGTCAAAGTGGTGCTGTTTCGTTTCCGCTAGCGGGAGCCGAGATTCCACAGGGGTGTCTTAGGGTGTGCTGTAGTGGGAGCCGAGATTCCACAGGGAGCCGAGAATTTAATGTTCTCTGTTTGGGTTAGCGGGAGCCGAGAATTGTGCTTGGCAGATCTCTTGAGCTTGGCACACTAAATCCAATAATCGCTTTTGCGATCTATGACAAAGCCGAACTTCTGTTCTAACTCCTAAGTGAGCAAAATTATGCATCTTCCCCGAGTCGTTTGACAGGCCATGACGAAAAAGGCCAGCATTGGCCCAACGGAGGCCATGTCTGAAACTGCAAGGCAGACAGGCGGCCTCATCAAGCACCACCGCTCCCTCGTGCATCGATGTCCAATAAAGAGAACTTCCATGACGGAGTTGACAGATGACAGCTCACACATGCGGCAAAGAATGCAAGACAATTGCAATCAAGAAGACCAGTGACAAGGCCATTGCAAGACGTTTGTTCAACTTTGTGACGATTTCAGTCACTTCACACTTTCCATTTCCATCAAATGGACACGCAGTTTACTAACCAACTCGGTCGTAAGCATCCTA